AGGTAGACATGAGCATGTCATGGTATAATGATGCATAAAAACATCAAAAAACGTCATACTATAATGAGGCATAAAAACATGAAAAAACGTCATAGTATAGTATGGCATAAAATGTCAAAAAATGTCCTTTTACAATGAGGCATAAAAACATCAAAAAACATCATAATATAGGTAGACATAAGCATGTCATGGTATAGCAAGGCATAAAAACATCAAAAAACGTCATAGAATAGCAAGGCATGAAAACACCAAAAAACGTCATAGTATAGTATGGCATAAAATGTCAAAAAATGTCATATTGCAATGAGGCATAAAAACATGAAAAAACGTCATAATATAGGTAGACATAATAATGTCATGGTATAATGAGGCATAAAAACATCAAAAAACGTCATAGAATAGCAAGGCATGAAAACACCAAAAAACGTCATAGTATAGTATGGCATAAAATGTCAAAAAATGTCATATTACAATGAGGCATGAAAACATCAAAAAATGTCATAATATAGGTAGACATAATACTGTCATGGTATAATGAGGCATAAAAACATCAAAAAACGTCATACTATAGTGAGGCATAAAAACATGAAAAAACGTCATAGTATAGTATGGCATAAAATGTCAAAAAATGTCATATTACAATGAGGCATAAAAACATGATAAAACATCATAATATAGGTAGACATGAGCATGTCATGGTATAATGATGCATAAAAACATCAAAAAACGTCATACTATAATGAGGCATAAAAACATGAAAAAACGTCATAGTATAGTATGGCATAAAATGTCAAAAAATGTCCTTTTACAATGAGGCATAAAAACATCAAAAAACATCATAATATAGGTAGACATAAGCATGTCATGGTATAGCAAGGCATAAAAACATCAAAAAACGTCATAGAATAGCAAGGCATGAAAACACCAAAAAACGTCATAGTATAGTATGGCATAAAATGTCAAAAAATGTCATATTGCAATGAGGCATAAAAACATGAAAAAACGTCATAATATAGGTAGACATAATAATGTCATGGTATAATGAGGCATAAAAACATCAAAAAACGTCATACTATAGTGAGGCATAAAAACATCAAAAAACGTCATAGTATAGTATGGCATAAAATGTCAAAAAATGTCCTTTTACAATGAGGCATAAAAACATCAAAAAACATCATAATATAGGTAGACATAAGCATGTCATGGTATAGCAAGGCATAAAAACATCAAAAAACGTCATAGAATAGCAAGGCATGAAAACACCAAAAAACGTCATAGTATAGTATGGCATAAAATGTCAAAAAATGTCATATTGCAATGAGGCATAAAAACATGAAAAAACGTCATAATATAGGTAGACATAATAATGTCATGGTATAATGAGGCATAAAAACATCAAAAAACGTCATAGAATAGCAAGGCATGAAAACACCAAAAAACGTCATAGTATAGTATGGCATAAAATGTCAAAAAATGTCATATTGCAATGAGGCATAAAAACATGAAAAAATGTCATAATATAGGTAGACGTAATAATGTCATGGTATAATGAGGCATAAAAACATCAAAAAACGTCATACTATAATGAGGCATAAAAACATGAAAAAACGTCATAGTATAGTATGGCATAAAATGTCAAAAAATGTCATATTGCAATCAGGCATAAAAACATCAAAAAATGTCATAATATATGTAGACGTAAGAATGTCATGGTATAATGATGCATAAAAACATCAAAAAACGTCATACTATAATGAGGCATAAAAACATGAAAAAACGTCATAGTATAGTATGGCATAAAATGTCAAAAAATGTCCTTTTACAATGAGGCATAAAAACATCATAATATAGGTAGACATAAGCATGTCATGGTATAATGAGGCATAAAAACATCAAAAAACGTCATAGAATAGCAAGGCATGAAAACACCAAAAAACGTCATAGTATAGTATGGCATAAAATGTCAAAAAATGTCATTTTACAATCTGGCATAAAAACATAAAAAAATGTCATAATATAGGTAGACATAATACTGTCATGGTATAATGAGGCATAAAAACATCAAAAAACGTCATAGTATAGTGAGGCATAAAAACATGAAAAAACGTCATAGTATAGTATGGCATAAAATGTCAAAAAATGTCATATTACAATGAGGCATAAAAACATGATAAAACATCATAATATAGGTAGACATGAGCATGTCATGGTATAATGATGCATAAAAACATCAAAAAACGTCATATTATAATGAGGCATAAAAACATGAAAAAACGTCATAGTATAGTATGGCATAAAATGTCAAAAAATGTCATTTTACGATGAGGCATAAAAACATCAAAAAAAATCATAATATAGGTAGACATAAGCATGTCATGGTATAGCAAGGCATAAAAACATCAAAAAACGTCATAGTATAGTGAGGCATAAAAACATCAAAATTTTTCTTACTATAGTGAAGCATAAAAACATCAAAAAACATAAGGCATAAAACCATCAAAAAATATAGTATACGAAGATATAAATTGAGGCCTACAACCATTTATTCCACTTGCCAAGTAACCTAATGTACATATCTTTGATCTGCGGGAGGAAGATGAAATAACTGGAGTGTACCCATGGAAGCACATGAAAAGTCCACACTCAAAGGATCCATGAGTGGGATTTGAACCCACAACCCCTAGGTTGAGAAGCAGCTGTTCTAGCCATTACCCCACTACTCCAACCCATTGATGTATCATGCATTGTAGCAGATAAAATCATCAAAACATAGAAAGGCATAAAAGATCATAGTATATCAAAGCATAAAAATGTCTAAAAACATCATAGTACAGTATGGCATAAAAATGTCATAGTATATCATGGCATAAAATGTCAAAAAATTGTCATAGTACAATAAGGCATAAAAACTTAAAGAAACGTCATAATATAGGTAGGCATAAAAACATGAAAAAACGTCATAGTATAGTCAGGCATAAAAACATGAAAAAACGTCATAGTATAGGTAGATATAATAATGTCATAGGATAGCAAGGCATAAAAACATCAAAAAACGTCATAGTATAGGTAGATATAATAATGTCATAGGATAGCAAGGCATAAAAACATCAAAAAACGTCATAGTATAGGTAGATATAATAATGTCATAGGATAGCAAGGCATAAAAACATCAAAAAACGTCATAGTATAGGTAGATATAATAATGTCATAGGATAGCAAGGCATAAAAACATCAAAAAACGTCATAGTATAGGTAGATATAATAATGTCATAGGATAGCAAGGCATAAAAACATCAAAAAACGTCATAGTATAGGTAGATATAATAATGTCATAGGATAGCAAGGCATAAAAACATCAAAAAACGTCATAACATAGGTAGACATAAGCATGTCATGGTATAATGAAGCATAAAAACATCAACAACGTCATATTATAGTGAGACATAAAAACATGAAAAAACGTCATAGTATAGGTAGATATAATAATGTCATAGTATAGCAAGGCATAAAAACATCAAAAAACGTCATAGTATAGTCAGGCATAAAAACATGAAAAAACATCATAATATAGGTAGACATAAGAATGTCATGGTATAATGAGGCATAAAAACATCAAAAAACGTCATAGTATAGTGAGGTATAAAAATATCAAAAAACGTCATAGTATAGTATGGCATAAAATGTCAAAAAGTGTCATGTTACAATGAGGCATAAAAACATGAAAAAACATCATAATATAGGTAGACATAATAATGTCATGGTATAGCAAGGCATAAAAACATCAAAAAACGTCATAGTATAGTGAGGCATAAAAACATGAAAAAACGTCATAGTATAGTATGGCATAAAATGTCAAAAAATGTCATATTACAATGAGGCATAAAAACATCAAAAAACATCATAATATAGGTAGACATAAGAATGTAATGGTATATTGAGGCATAAAAACATCAAAAAACGTCATAGTATAGTGAGGCATAAAAACATCAAAAAACGTCATAGTATAGTATGGCATAAAATGTCAAAAAATCTCATATTACACTGAGGCATAAAAACATCAAAAAACATCATAATATAGGTAGACATAAGAATGTCATGGTATAATGAGGCATAAAAACATCAAAAAACGTCATACTTTAGTGAGGCATAAAAACATCAAAAAAAGTCATAGTATAGTATGGCATAAAATGTCAAAAAATGTCACAGTATACAAAGGCATAAAAAGTCATAAAAACGACATAGTTTACTAAGTCATAAAAATGGCAGTATAGGAAGTGACAAAAAGTCATAAAAACGTCAACAGTCATTATTATAGTAAGGCATAAAAATGTCACAATACAGTAAGGCATAAAAATATCATAGTAAGGTATCCAGTTAATCAGTAATTTCCACCTACTTAAGTTCTCTTTTTATTGTTTAACAATAATGAATTAAAGGAGATTTAAATTGATATAAATTCATTACAAATAAGTTAAATATTTACACCCTTCAGATCACACTTAAGTCATCACTGGAGCAGCAACTTGGTTTTAGAAGTCAAGAGTTTTCAATTGGCTGCAGTATATAGTATAAGGGCATAAATGTTCAGCAAGAAGACTAAGGATGATCTAAGGGAAAATAAGAACTACATAAGTGAAAGCTTTACAGTGAGTCATAAATGTCATTGTTCCAGCGTCAAAGGCACAAGCCAGTGCAGTATGTTCATATGTATAATATATAAGATGGCCAAGATAGGGCAAAGACATAAAAGCCAGCACCCAACTGCTTTTCAGCTACCAAAGAAATATATGAGTTTGTAATGGAAAATCAAATTCCAATCCTACCTTCAATATCTTGACAGGAAACGGAATGTGAGGCCTGAGGGAGAGCCAGTATTTTCTTGTTCTGAATTTTCTCTTCACTCATTCTCTCTCACCACATTTTTGCACATTTTCTCCACATGACTCACTCTCTCACCCACACCCTCTCCACTCCATTTCCTTCCATTTCCTCTGTTTTAGTGGTGGCTGCCAATGACCTGAGGTGGCAGACGCAGGGAATATTCCGGCCATTTGTGGAGGTCTATATCATCGGCCCTCATCTCAGCGATAAAAAGAGGAAGTATGCCACCAAGTCCAAGAACAACAGTTGGGCTCCCAAATACAATGAAACCTTCACTTTGTGAGTAGCTGTTGATGATAATAATTTGTTTTATTTTGAGTCGTAGAGCAACAATGTGGAGATGCTTAAATAACACTTGCCCTCATCTCTTTTCTCTGCTGCAGCACCTTGAGCAATGAGGTGGGTCCTGAGTGCTATGAGCTGCAGGTGTGTGTGAAGGACTACTGCTTCGCCCGAGAGGACCGCACTGTGGGCATGGCCGTCTTGCAGCTGAAAGACGTGGCCTCCAAAGGCAGCGTCGCCTGCTGGTTGCCACTGGGTAAACGCATCCACATGGACGAGACGGGCCTCACTGTCCTGCGCATCCTCTCCCAGCGTAACAATGATGATGTGGCCAAGGAGTTTGTTAAGCTCAAGTCTGACCAACGCTCTGCTGAGGAGGGCCGCAGCTAAGAGTCATAATAGAATTTAAAACCTGTCTGAAGCGCAATCAGATGTCGCCACCCACTGCCCTGGAGCTCTCCCGAGCCACTGCTAGCCACTGCCCTAATAATCCAGTGTTGAAAAAGCACAGATAAGAAAACAGTCACCACACACCCCAGTGCTGTAAATACATTTATTTCAGTGGAAAAGACACAGTGCTAAGCAAAGTATCACTTTAATTTTCTTCAGAAAAGGACCAGTGTCTTTATTGTTACAGATATCAACCATCCTTATGATATGAACACTACATACAGTTTAATCATAGAGCATATACTTACATACTTTCCTCTGTTTGTAGAGGTGAATCATGCCATTCCATAATCACACACATACATGTACAGACACACATTTGACTGGTCAGGGTGAGAAATATCTTGTAGCCCCCCCCCTCCCTCATTTTCCAGTTCCTCTTGTCCCTTCCCTCACCTGCACCCACTAAGACAAGGGACCAACAGATAATCGCTGAAATATGCCAAGACCAGCCCTAAGCACAACAGGACCAACTTTCCAACTGACCCATGAAAAACAACAATGGCTGCACAGTCTCAAACATTCCAGATATCAGGGTGGGGAACACATTTTGGGAACAAAGCACTATTTAGTTATGATACTTTTATATTTATTTACTGCTTTCTTCCAAATCATATTTATATTTGAATAATTCTATCATTATAAGTATAGTGTAATAAAGGAAGGACATATGTAAAGTTATACAGGATTATTCAATGAACATATGGTACTTGAAAGATTGTCCTTGTCCGTCTTTATGTCTGTCTACCCTGTAACAGAGCACACTGCCTGACACCCTCAATGCCTTCTGTCGTGTTGACCCTCGTACAGTCTGTCTGTCTCCTATATAGCGACTGTATAGAGAGATGAATCTGATGAAAACATGTCCTCAAGCACTGTCATTCATCAGAGTGTGTGTGAGAGAGTGAGAGAGAGAGAGAGAGAGAGAGAGAGAGAGAGAGATAGAGAGATAGAATGTATGATTGCATTTGAGCATGTGTGGAACTTGTAATGTGCGAGTGTGTTTGTAATATGTTCTAATGTTGACCTCATGTAGCTGCCCGTGTTGCCTGTTACCTGCAAATGTAATCACAGAAAGCCATCACAAATAAAGAACATCACACGAGGGGGGGTGGGTGGGGGGGGCTTTTCATATTCTGGTTAGATTTTGGAGAGATTTATCCAAGTGTATTTTAATTTGGGGAGGAAGAAATGTGTATCTTCTGATTGTTTTTCCATCTTTGTGTTACTGTAAACATTCCACAACTAGACAGCCCGAAACTGGGTGTGTAGAGGTGCAGGATAGAAGGAGAAAAACTCACCTCCTTTTCTTAAAAAAAAAAAAAAAAAAACTTGCCAAATCAAAGTTTGCATGTAAAGAGATGATAAAAACAAGTCCCTGAGACCCTATTTTGCAAAATCAACATCCCGTGGGTTACAAAACCACACGCCTTGCGCCCCATGGAGAGCACAAATCGCTAATGACCTTCTAACCATTATTCCCTAATGATTCAGCTGCAGGTGGTGTAACCCTGATCTCTGATAACGAGAAGTCAGACCTCTGCTAAAGGGCTGCAGATCCAGACCGCACCAGGTCTGGCACTGACACTAAAAAGAGGGCCTACAGTTTAGTCTGTTTCTCTGTTAATCAGTGTAGAGAACGGAGATGTGGTACGAAGATTAAGAAGCACAGGGTCACTGAATGCATGTATTGCTTTATTTATCTATATAAGATTTTTATGTTTTTGTGAATGTGAATAAAAAAGCATTCAGGCAAGGAAATGATTTTGATGATTGGGGTCTCAAAAAAAGAGTCAAAATTTCATAATGATAGTGGGTTTTGTTTGTTTTTACACTTTCTGCCTCTTTGTTCTGACGAGGGCCTCTCCCCCCAAAGCCCTTGATCATAACTGAATAACAGCCCCCTCTTTGGAACAATGTGTAAGAACTGAACTCTATGCATCTAATCTATAAAAGTCTATATAGATGAGTCATTTTTGAAGCAGTCTTATAATGTTTACATTGTGGGTTATTATTCTAATTATATCAGCACAAGCGTTTGTCTGATATGTTGTAAATGCTGTCTCTATTGTAATGGGCCAAATATCACAGCTGTAGTGGGGCTGATTAGAGACTGAAATTTGTTTGTGCAGCTTTTTAGCACAGAGGAAAATAATCTGGAACAGAGAACGGCCGGTGTTGTTGTTGGGCATTGTAAATAGCTCGGATGTAACAAACACGTCAGACTATGTGAAGTGAAGTTTGCTGCTCTTTTGTAGACTTGAATTTTGCTCTCAGTGAGTGGGCAGTTGGAAAATGTGTGTGTGAGTGTGTGTGTGTTTGAGTGTGTGCGTGTGCGTGTGAGTGGGTGGGTGCCTTTACTGGAAATGTAGCTATTATTGGAAGACATAGGAAGACTGTGTACACAGTGGAGATGAATAACAAATAATTTGTACAAATCTTGATTTGGCTTAATTAACAACTAAATAAATAAACTGCCAGTCTCTGACTTTTACACTGGAAAGATATATACATCATGCTACTAAAGGAAACTAGTTACAAACTGAAACTAAACTGAATCTAAGCATGGTGCGTGACTCTTTGGTGTGTACACAGTCTTTTATTCTAAGGGGACATCTGCACACTCTTTTAATAACTTTAGATAACAGGTAAACAACTGTCACATAGCTGGAAATGCCACGAAAAAAATTCTTTATTTATTGCTGTTGACAATGATACTTTAGTCGGGGAGATTCCTCCTCCCCCTTCAGAGGCTCAGTTTGCGTGTTGGGGGTATTATTGGGCTGGCATGTGAATCAGAAATGTGCACAGGAGTTAAGGGCAAAGGATAAATGTAGAAGCACAATGCTAAATGTAAAAGCACAGAGACACCAAGTGGACAGACATGCATGATCTGTCCTGTTCTGTCCAGCTGATCAGGCCACACAGACAGACACCTGCACAGCGGTGTCGGGTCCTGTACTTCCAGAAATGGTGCATGATAGGAACAATAAAACAAAAAAGAAAAAAATGTATTGTGCCAGCACGCATAATTATTTGATGTTAATTGCCAATTGTTGTCTTCTTTATTTTGATATTTCATTATTGTTTTCTATTTTTCAAATGGTTGTGAATATATAAATATGTATTACTGATGATGTGTAGTGGTACAAAGTACTCGCATGAGAATTTTTTTATACATGAGATGTTTCTAATTTTTTTTTTTTTTTTTTATTCTGGTTGTTCTTATTGGGGGTTGAGGTTACTGGGACTGCAGTCTCATTGTGTTTCTGCTTCCAATAAAATATGAAAAAAAGCTTCATTTCATTCTTTGTTTGTCAAACTTTTACACTTTTGTTATTTCTGATACATACATACATACTGACTAATTTTGAATTTATCCATTTTAAAGGAAAAAATGTATATTCCTTGTCTCCATTAGCACTCATGCCTGTTTAAACTCATCAGTTACTTAGCTGAGATGCACATTTTTGACATGACCACTCACCTTCTATGGTAAACAGACTAATCCACTGATAACTAACAGGTTCATTAAACAAGTTAGTGCCCCAAAAAATCTAAGAGAGGAATTAAATTCAAAACACATCTTGAAAGTTTTTTTAAATTTCAAATGACTAAATTCGATGAGTTGGGATTTACACTGAACTGAAGTGACATCCTGTTTTCTAGGCTCTGCGTAGAAAGGAGATCTTGAGGGAGTCTGGGATGACTAACTGCTCAGCATGGTAGGCAGCGGGAGGCAAGTAGGGGAATGTGACAGGAAACACTCGCCTCACATCCATCAGGAGCTGTGGAGGCTGACCGTCAGAACGGCCTTTGAGAAGCCCCTAGGAGAGCAAAGACAGAGGCCGCTTACATGAGACACCCTTTTTTAAGTTAACAAACAAAACAGACCTTATAGTTGTAGACCTGGACTGTGGTACCTGGACAGTACGGATGAAATTCAGAGTGACTCTTTCATCAAGGTCACTGTGGGGAGTGTAGAGGGTCAAAATCTTCACAATCTGTTGAACAGGAATCAGAGACCAGCAGTTAAACACAATATTTTCTTTTTTCTCTTGAAGACACATGACAGACAGACCCACCTGCTGATTGGACAGTGCGGTGCAGGTGTGAACAAGGGCCTGTGCGTCTGCTTCAGTTTTTTTCCCCGCCTGCAGAAGCTGAACTGCCTGGATGAGGGGCTCCAGTGTGGCCACAGCGCCCCCTGCCTGCAGACCTCGGCTACGCAGCCACTCCTCCAGCAGGCTCACATTGTATCTACAGGATAGGAGAAAGACAAGCTGATTAATAATGTAACATTTTTGTTCATGCAACAAAGTCAGGATACAATAGTATGAACACAAGTTAATACACTTAAATATCTCTTTATACAATTAATCAACTGAAACTGAATTACCAACTACTTTCATAATCGATAAATAAAAAATTCCATTCCATTTTTTAATCAAACAGTCACTCGTACCAGCTTTTCACATGTAAGGATTACACAATACACAGTGAGGTCTTCTTTGGGTTTCAATTGAATTATAGATTTAGCAAAACAAGCAATTTAAAGCTGCCACCTTGGGCTCTAAAAAACTGCTTTTTGCTAGTTGCATCCCTAATCTGGAGTACAGCACAGAGGTTAATGTAATCATCAACTGTAACCTTAAATTAAGTGGGTAAAATTCAGAGCTCATGACAATCTCAGGGCAGCCAAATTTTTACTGGGTTTCACGTCGCAAGGTCGCTAACAGCTGTCTGATTCACTGTAAAATAACACTGCGATGAAGCAATATGTATGATGTAATATTGGATATATAAATTAGATTGGACCTCTGTGTGTGGGAAGACACTGTCAACTAGGAGATCATTTTTAGTTTAATACAAATTAATTGACATTGTTTTAGTCCAGTGAAAGAAACACAGTACAGTACAAATTAAAGGCAATATGGATAAATCCATTCTTCTTCAATCACTATATATATGGAAATTAAATTGAAAAATTATCTATAGATCAAAATAAATAATGGGGATGTCTGTTTCTGGCTAATTAAGTGAATTAAGTATCTGACAAATCAAGCTACTTCATCAGAGACATTAAAGAGACAGCTACCTCAGTATAAACCAGCAAAAATATTGTCAACAGTTTGTCTGTATAGTGAAAATAAAGTTTACATATGGGAAAACGCTGCACATGTATGTGTGTATATCTGTGCGTTTTCATACCGTATTTGCATGCCACGACTCCAGCAGCACATGTCTTTGCGCAGCAGCAGGCTGTTCAGAGCGGAGGCAGAGATGAGGTAGGTGAGCTGGTGGAAGGCCTGCTCCATCAGCACCGGGGGCAGAGCCTGATGGGACAGGGCGGTGTGGAGGGCTCCCAGCTCCCTCAACACTGATGCCATAGTGGGTGAAGCATCACCTGTAACGGTCCTGGAGTCTGAGCCTGCTCGCTTCCTGGACGTCGCCAACTTCGCCGCTGAGCCGGACAGCCCGGGGATGGTCTCAGACTCCAGCAGCGCGGGTACTGAGGGAGAGGGGTAGCAGCATGTGAGATAATGGGAGCAGTTGAGGGG